AGATTGGCCCGAACCCCGAAAAGTTAAAGATATCCAATCCTTCCTCGGCTTTGCCAATTTTTATAGACGTTTTATTCGTGGATATTCCGACATCACGCTACCCCTTACCCGTCTTACGCGTAAGGGTACTCCGTGGAACTTTAACGATAAGTGTCAAAAAGCTTTCAATCTTTTAAAAAATTCTTTTTCCACAGCTCCTATTCTGTTGCATTGGAAACCGGACTTCCTGCTCATTGTTGAAACGGACGCCTCCGACTATGCACTTGGAGCCATTCTCTCTATCCAGGACTCCGACGGAGAAGTTCACCCCGTGGCTTTTCTGTCCCGGACTTTTACCGGAGCAGAGCTCAACTACGACGTTCATGATAAAGAACTTCTGGCAATCTTTTCTGCTTTCAAAGTGTGGCGACACTATTTGGAAGGTTCAGGAGCTCTTATTGACGTTGTAACAGATCACAAAAACCTGGAATACTTTTCTACCACAAAACTCTTGACCCGCCGGCAGGCCCGCTGGTCTGAATATCTCTCCGCCTTCAACATGATTATCCGTTTTCGACCTGGCCGTCTCGGCGGCAAACCCGATGCTTTAACTAGACGATGGGACGTCTATCCTAAAGAGGGGAGCAACGACTATGCAACGGTAAATCCGCACAACCTGAAACCTATCTTCACGAATCAACAACTTACTGCATCAGTCCGCGCAACTTTCCTCGTCAATCCCATTGTCTGTGGAATTATCATTATGGATATCGAAAAGTTACATCAAGATATTCTATCGGCAATTCCGCTAGACCCAGTTACTAAAGCTCATCTGGACAATCCCGTGGACCCCGATCAACCTCGGTGGTCTCTTGATCAACATGGTTTCATTAGACTTGACGATCGTATCTATGTACCGGACTTCAACGGCCTCCGCCTCAGGATCCTTCAATACAAACATGATCATCCACTCTCAGGACATTTCGGGTACAACAAAACTCTATCATTAATAAGAAGAGAATATACTTGGCCTGGACTCCGTGGATTCGTTAAGCACTATTGTAAATCTTGCACTACTTGTCCCCGCTCGAAATCTCAGCGACACAAGCCATACGGCCTTTTGAAACAACTCCCGGTACCGGAACACCTGTGGAATTCTATATCTATGGATTTCATTGAACACCTACCGGATTCCGAAGGTTTTTCCGCTATCCTAGTCGTTGTTGACAGATTCTCAAAACAAGGTATATTCATCCCTACTTATGATACAATTACGACCGTGCAGTTAGCGGAACTTTTCATTATCCACGTATTTTCCAAGCACGGAGTTCCGTCCCACGTGACTTCCGATCGAGGATCAGAGTTCGTGTCTCACTTCTTTAGATCCCTCGGAAAATCCTTGGACATGACATTACATTTCACGTCCGGACATCACCCGGAAGGTGACGGACAAACCGAACGCGTCAACCAGACATTGGAACAATACCTCCGCGTATATTGCAACTATCAACAGGACAATTGGAAAACCTTGTTACCACTTGCAGAGTTTGCTTACAACAATGCACCCTCGGCCACTACTGGCGTTTCCCCGTTCTTTGCAAATAAAGGATATAATCCAAATATTACAGTACATCCAGAACGAAATCTCGCCTCTGTGCGTGCTCAAGAGTTCACCACGGACCTCCACGAGCTCCACGAGGAACTCCGGACTGCAATATTGTCTGCCCAAGAGCAATACCAACATTCAGCGGACAAACACCGGATCCCGCCACCAAACTTCAAGATTGGCGACCGTGTTTATGTCAAAGCTCAATTCTTCCAGACTACCCGTCCATCAAAGAAGCTTGCTGAAAAATATTTAGGTCCCTTTGAAATTATCGCACAAGTAGGTTCAGTTTCTTGGACTCTACGGCTTCCGGATAGCATGCGCGCGGTACACCCGGTATTTCATGTCTCTATGCTAGAACCTTGTACTGCTAACACTATCCCGGATCGCGTGCAATCTCCGCCTCCTCCTGTCGTCATTGACGGAGAACCCGAGTTTGAAATCTCTCAAATTTTAGATTCAAAAATTGACAAGCGTCGACGCACTTGTAAACTGCTTTACTTGGTCAAGTGGGCGGGTTACGAGGGCACCGATGAAGAAACCTCATGGATTTTGGCCACGGAACTCGGTGATGCCACGGAAATTGTTACTGACTTTCATACAGCTTACCCACTCAAACCTGGACCATTATCGTCTCTCTGACCGCACTCCGCGGACCCCGTGTTACATTTGGACTCATTTTCATTATTCCCTGTCGCCCTATGTCTCTCTTTGCTTTTACAGGTTCTGACATGTCTGGTCAAGTCTTCAAGCGGACTCTCCGCGGACTTTGGCTTTGACTTTTATTTTTCTTTCACGCTTTACTTTATGTTCAATTACTTTCTATTTCTATATAACTTTTTCAGTCTACATTTATGGGACTGTTCTTTTTCCCTGCTTCCTCAGCTATCTCCTCTGGGAGCTCCGCGACCTCCGCGGCAACCCCGTCCTCATCCGATCCGGCATCCTCGGAACTCCCGACTTGCGGCTCCTTATATACATAGCCGCCATACTCCGCCAGGAACTTCCAAAACTCCTCGCGGAGTCCGGACAGCTCCTTTGCCACCACAATTTGGACCTTGTTGCTCTTCTGGAGCAACTCGTTTTGGGCCTCGATGCCCTCGGCGATCCGTCCAAGGACCTCGTCCAACCCGGACAACCCGTCCGTCCCGCTTATGTCTCGCACCCCGGATCCCGTGGCCTGCTCGTGCACAAGCGAGCACCTCGCCTTGAGGTGCGCCCATTGATAACATCCCGGCCCCCGGCCGGCCTTTCGGTTGCATTCCATGTTCCGGTCGTTGCAACCGGAACACCACGGCTCGTTCCGCGTCGGAAGACGGACTGGCGCCGCCTTCCTTGCCTTCTGTTGATATGGTCAGTTTCCGCGGGTATTCCTTGGACATGAGGCCTACCTTTTGGGGGCTCTCTGGCTCCCCTTCGGACTCGGACTCCACCTCTGTCGCTTTGCGCTGAAAATCACAAGTCAGAAAAAACCGACAAGTTGAATATTGGGACTTACCTTTCCCGCAACAATGGCGGCCCTCTCCGCGGCCAACCGGGCTTTCTCCGCAGCCACCTGGGCGTTCTCCGTGGCCACTCGCGCAGCCTCCTCCGCCTCACGTTCCCTCTCCTTTGCAGCCTCTTCCTCCGCGGCCAATGCTTCCTGGTACTCTCTGTCCAGGGCCTCCTCAGCCTCCCTCGCCTCTCTCTCTGCTGCTTCACGAAGCTGGCGCTGCTCTTCTCGCCGCGCCAACAATTGGGCCGCCATCCACGGCGCCCGATACGGAGTGCCCGTGGAGGGCCCTGCTGTCGGCATTGGCTTGCGTGGTGTGGGTTTTGGTCCCATAGTGACGAAGATGGGGGTAATAAAGAAGAAGAAATTTCTATTTTTCAATTTTTTATATAGGCTCGTCGTGTTTGAACCTTACCTTCCAGATCACATGACTCTTTGACACATACGTGTAACCGACATGACTTTTGACACATGCGCGTAGCCGACAAGAACCTTATTTAGGTCTAGAGCCTCTTTGGGACTTCGGCATAAAGGGAGGATACTGTTACGACCGGACAAATCCTGCCGGACTCCGGGCACTAACTCGTACGCCCCCACGCGCTACAAGCACCAATCGTCTGTTTATAGGATTTCCCGCCCGGACTCCGTTACGTCAAGACTCGTTACGTTCGACCTCATTAAGACACATATCAGTCACCGGACTTCCCCCGGACCCCGTCTCTGTCTATGTCCGTCTTCGTCCCACACATCAGTCACCGGAACCCGCTTAGAATCCCGTCACCGCTCTAATCAAGCCCCGTTCCCGTTTTAGTCAAATGACCTGTCACGATTTAGGACTCCGCTCCCGCTCCATTTCCCGTTATGGGTTATGCTTTGTCACGATTCGGACTCCGCTCCATTCCGTCCCGTTCCTAACACCAATTTGGTGTTTACTATTCCCGTTTTATGTTTTGCTCGTTTCGTCTCATTATTACTGGATTCGGTATGTCATGCATTCCACGGTCTATATAAACTGGCAGATGTTGTACATACAATCCAGTCAGAAAATTAGCTTAGATTCCCCCCAGTAATCTAATACATTTTCCTCTCTAAAACCCTACTCTTATCAGACCGCTCGCACTAGTCGGAGCCCACGGGCTCCGGCGCATCTATCTCTCTCGACTATCTCGATTCACGACTCTCGACTCACGACCTACGACTCACGACCCACGAACCCCCGCCCAGACTCCCCGGGATTCCCGTCCGCCTGTCTGAAATTGGACAACACGATCTAGCGAGGGCGCAGCCTATAAGCTGAAGCCAAGTCCTACCGGATATCCCGCGGGTTTCTCCGGAAACCCGGCCTGAGTGTGTATCCTAACAACATCCCTGAAAAAAGGCAAAGGAATGGTTTGAGAATAATGGAATGACTGTCCTACCATGGCCTGCCCAATCTCCAGACCTCAATCCAATTGAGCATCTATGGGATTACTTGAAGAGAAAGCTGGGACAGTATGCCACTGTACCAAGTGGGATTCTGGAGTTGTGGAAGAGGATAGAGAGGGAGTGGGAAGATATACCAGCTTCTGAGTGTTAGAAGTTAATTGAAAGCATGCCAAGAAGGATTGAGGCAGTCATAAAGGCCAAGGGAGGGTATACCAAGTATTAAAATATAGCATATATTGCATCATAATCATCAGCATCAAAACCATTTCAATGAGTAGGCCTGAATAAACTATTTTTAGCATACCCAAAAATGTATATTACATAATAATATTCTAGACACTGATTCTAGATATGTTTAGCTATACACTGTATTTTTGTGAGATATTTTGCTACTTTTTCTCCCCTGGTAGTGGCCTGCCAACATGCAAATGTCAAAGATTGAAAAGGTTTTGAGAGTCACTGTATCATATTTCAACAGATTTAACTGGATAAAAGTATAGCCTTAGACAGGAATTGAACCTGCAACCTTAAGACTCTTACCCAGTCAGAGGGACTGTAAGAGTCTTACACTCTACCAAATGAGCTACCAAGGCACAGGTGATAAGGTCCACATGGTAATACATGCAGAACCACAGCACCACCATTGTTATGTTCATCAGGATAACCCCCCTCTCTAAAATAAATTCAGGATCCTTAGTAGAGCCTTATTTTAATAACCTCAGGTACCCTGAAACCAACCTAGCACCATGGATGAACCCTATGTGGAAGAAGTTCTAGAAAACCTGGAAGGTTTGGAAAATGGAGATGAGTCCATGGGCTCTGACAGCAGCAAGAATGCCCCTGATCCAGCCACTATACCCCATCTGCATTTCATGTACCCCACTACTGACATGGTAGCAAGGACCTTGAATAAATTTATGGATGCAATGATTGAAGAAAGAAAGAACAAACATCAAGAACCTGTGCAATCCAAAGTCAATGCACTGCAACCTTTCACTGGCTCAAATCCCACCAAATTGTCAACTGGATTGTAAGTACATGAGTATGGGAGACTTATATAGACTGTGGAATGTAATAATACCAAATCTGGAAATGATGAGGGATAGAACAATTGAACATAAAACAAAATAAGTAAATACTAAACTGGGAATTTGGGATGGGATGGAATGGAAGCAGAGAACAAACTAGATAGGTCATTAGACCATAATGAGTGTGGGGTTCTATCCTCTGTTGGAGGGGTTCTGGGAGTCCAGTTGGAGTCCAGTGATGGGAACAGAGAGTCGGGTATAAACAGGTTGATGTGTGCATCCGGCAGAGTCTGAAGACTGGTGTATGAGACACAGTGTCAGATATAGACAGGTTGACATGTGGGTCCAGCAGAGTCCAACGACTGCAGGAGCAGGGTTCTATGCCCTGTTAGAGGGGTTCTGGGAGTCCAGTCGGAGTCCGGTGACATGCAGGTCCCAGCAGGTACTCTGGTTGTAACTGTACCTTGGGTATGATATAGAGAGTCGGGTGCATATAGGATGGGGTCTAGAGCCCAGTGGATTTTCCGGTCCTAACACATAGGTGTATCAGGAAAGGGTCCTGAACATATTCAGGTACATGATGTCTTTGTTTTTTGTCATTGACCATGACTTTGTTATTGAGCTTGATGCAAACTTGTAGCAAGAGGCTCCTCTGTTATCTCTCCATGACTATTGACCCCTGCCAACACTCAATCAGCCACTGCAAGACCTGACTTAAGGCATATGTCCATTTTTGTGCCTATTTGACTCATCTGTCTTCTTATGTGCCTCTCTGATTGGCCTCCCAATCACCCATTCTCACCTTAGTATAAAACTCTCATCTTGTACCCTACAGTTCTTTAGTTCCAATATCAATTTAGCTTCCTCTACTCTTTACTTAATCTTCAACAAGAAGTCCTCAGCTAGCTAAGACTCATACCTCCTTGACTCTTAGCATTCTGGCCCACTGGCTGATTTTGCTAAGTGCTAACTTAGTTCTATTGCATTCTATTTACTTTTTTCCAAATACTTGAGCAACTTAAACAGTTTGTGTGAGGGCACAACACATAAGTTGAAACCAAGCTCCACTTGTATTGTAGAACCAGAGCACTTGGGTATGCATGTACTAATGCTATGGACCCTCAAAGTTCCATGACTCTTTAGCTTTAGACCATAGACCTGTTAGAATATGTGATACACATCTAAGTCTAATCTCACATCTCATCTTGTGACTGCATAGATCTGACCAGTTCATGTCATGTGATAATGTATATTTAGTTTAGTGTTCACTAGTTCTGTAGTACACACAAACATGCAACACACAGACCAGTGAACAGACCATGGACTTAGTATATAATTAGTCTAGTTGAGGAGTAGGATCCTCATCTAGCAATATCACCAGTTTAATACCTACACCACTTCCTTGGGGAGAGTATAATTCCTCCTGAAATCTAGGTCTCATGTTATCGGTAGGTCAGAATCAGGCTGGGTCAATGACAAAGCTGACACTCATCATTATTGACATATGATGAATCAAGTGCTGTAACAGTATCATGGACTGCAATGGTACACAGATGTTCTTGTCTTTGTAACCATAATCACTCACCACTATCCCTAGATTCCTTAATGGCCCATTGGAGCTGAGTAGACATAGCTGGTTGTCCTGAAGTTGTGTGGTCCAAACATTGAAGAAAAGGCAGTTTGTTGGCCAATCCATCAGCCATCTCAAGGGAAGGGATATTTGTAATTCAATGGGAATTGGAGCATCAGACAGGTCATCAGGAAAAGCAGAGTATACATACATGTAAATACATATCAGAGGGAGGGTAAATCACCTTAACATGGGATGGCTACTAGGTAAGTATTTGCATGTCTATATCACACTTGCTCTCCCCGTGCTGCTTTGCCATTGGATATGGAATCGGTGTATAGGCTAGAAGATCGTATTCAAGGAGAGAGAAGTTTGAAATATTAGGAGGAAATGCCATCCACGCTGCACCTTATAACATACATACAAGGGAAAACAATTCAGATACAAACCAATGGGCTAAACAAGTCAAAGTTCATCCAGCATCGAGCCACTTCATTTGTTTCTTTCCTGCCGAAGGTAAGCAATGTACTGGTTACTGTAAAACCTCCAAAAATCCAAAGAATAATAATGATAGGAATGAGGTAGAATTGTAGCTACAAAGACATATATTGTTATGGAATTCAGTAAGGACGGCTATCGCTATCGTGACTCTTGTTGAGGATGTGTAACATTCTGCCGCATAGCAAAGTATTTCCGCAGAGTGTTGTGACCCCCCTGAGAATGCACATCAAATCCACAAATCGTGGAGTTGTTCTTATACCGGAACCCACTGTCCGCAGAAGTTTCGGACCCAGTTTCCGCTCCCAAACATCGGCCTCCCCACCCATCATGAGAAATAACACATGTGATCGTCCAATCAGCCTTCCTTTCAGACTATGACCTAAATATGCAATTTTGGTGCTTAATGGCTAGTTCCATAATTCTCAAAAATATTTCATACACTTGGAAAAAGAAATATATGTAGGAAGGAGTCCGTGATTTATTGGGATAAAAATATTGCCTCAGGCGGGAATCGAACCCGCAACCTTAAGGCTCTTACCCGGTCAGAGGGACTGTAAGAGTCTGACGCTCTACCAACTGAGCTACCAAGGCATGGGTTATTATACCCACATTGTAATATATATTGAACCGTGACACCCCGTTGTTACGTTCTGCCTTTGAATCTGCTATCTGTCCCCCATTCTAGACTTATTTGTCGGACTACACCTTACTGTTGTTGTAGTAGTATTTACAGTGACAAAATGATAAGGTCATCAGGCTAAGTCAATATATCGTGGGATGCAAAGTTTGAACTTAATAGATGTCTGATCCCCACTCCGTTAACTGGAACAGTACTCTTATCCAACTCATATTGCATCTCGGTGTTGGAAAAATATGGATGGGTTGGAAACACCATGGACGAATACGCCACCTAGCAAGTAAGTAAAGTCGCCCTGCCAACCGCGGTCGTGGTCTAGTGCACGTGCTGAACAAAATTGGCGGGTATGTATGTCTCTGCGCTCAGATTCAATTGGGACATGATAGCGGGATACGAAGGCACTGTTTACACACCTCTAACGCAGAGCAAAGAGGAAACTACCGCTGTGGGGACCCTCCATCTCCTTGACAATGACGCCAAGCACGGTCATCTGCAATCTACCCTCCAGTCGACCCCACATGATAGCCATCATTCCGCCCGTGTCCAACTATCCGCCCATTCCGACTCTTCATCGCCACGTCTGACCCCCTCACCCTCTCCTCGGGCTAACCCAAGCCCTCTTCTGTATGACGCGTCTATCTCTAGCACGGGTGCATCAGGCAAGGGTCCCGGAACATATTCAGGTACATGACGTTTTCTTTACATTGACCATGACTTTGTGATTGAACTTGATGCAAACATGTAGCGAGAGGCTCCTCCATTATCTCACCGCAACTATTGACGGCTGTGAACACTCGATCGGCCGCTGCGAGACCCGACTTTAGGCGGATGTCCGTGGCTCTGCCTACACTAGCGGCGGCCAGCTGGATGACTCTGATAGCGAGAGTGGAAGCGATAGCGAGACGAACATAACGTCTATGGTAGTGAGAGTGGAGGAAAGGCCAGTTTGGTAGGTGACGGACGGGGACGTATCCAATTCGAAGAAACGGGTGGAATATCATCGTCATTAATGGAGTCCTCACTTCCTACAAGCCGCACATCATCCTTCATCACCGATCCCCGCTCTACACCGTTCTTTAAAAACCTGCACGCATCATCCAGCTTCTCGAAGGACCACCCGATACCCATCTCGCAAGCGACGAGCGTGGCAATGGGGAACACGACGACGAAGACGAACACGGAGATAGTAATGCCCATTCGGGCTCTTCGACGAGGAAATTGTCTCCGAAACCGGGGATGGGATCAGGCTTGGGCCTCTCAAACATGGGGCCTGTCGCTGTTGGGGAGCGGACGGTCATAAACGTTAGGAGAAGAGTTACTGAACAAGACGTCATGTGGACAGACCTGGTGAGGGATGCGTTGAAAGAGACAGTAGCGGATTTTGCGGAGATGGTGAGTCTTTGGATGTGCCTTGAATTTGTGCGAGTCCTGATGATGCTTACGTTGATTTTCTTAGGGGGATGTCCAAATGTTTGCCTTACTTGCTATTGCGGCACCTAACGAACTGGGGGATTGGACCCATACGTGCAGCGACAGTTGTTGATGCATATGTTGGTGAGCTACTAGAGCCTACAATAATGTATCAAAATTCTTCGTAATCTTTCGCGCTATAAATGCTTTCCCGGCTTCAGCTTCACGAACCTGCTGCTGATGTGCGGAAATATGCACATTACGAGCTGGTTCGAGAAACAAAGGCGTCACAATTGTCAGATCCTTTGGCCTTGAATCTTTGGGTTTCATACAAAGTTCGAGACCATGGCGGGAACTAACCGAGGAATATATCTTAATAAGTTACAAAGGTATAAACCCAGTGGACGGATATATATGGATTCTTACCTGGGTTGTATCTCGAACCAG